ATTTTGACCAACTTGATTTGCATTAGCCACATAAGTTACTTGAAAAAACATTTATAGTTGGATCATAAGGATCAAGATATGTTGATGATTGTGTAAATCCTGTTGGATAAACTCCAATCGTATTATTTAATGTTGCATTTGCACATTGAACTTTAATACGAATAAGCATGGTAAGTGATTGACCAGGTTCAACAAAAATACATTGATCAGCAGGTACATCACCTATATAGATGGGTGGTGTTGTACATGTATTAGGTGAACTCCAAACTCTTAAAATAAATTGAATAGGAACTCGTGAAAGATATGCTGTACTTGTATCGTTTTCAAAATCAAGAATAGTTAATGCTATTGCATAATAACCAACAATAATTGGTGTAAAACGAAGAATACAACTTGTTTCATTAAGATATGTTGAAGTAGGTAGAGTAAGTAAAGATCGACAAACACCACCACATTCTTGCGATGAATTTGACCAAATACATGTATATCGATCAAAATCATTATCAGCAACATTAATTTTTATATAATAAGTTAAATTACTACGAAGTCGTATGATTGGTAACATTGTAACAATGGGTGCTTGATTATATCGACCATTTGATCGTTTATAAGTATTTATTTCAGTAGAAACTGACCATGTACTTCCACCTGTTACTAATATAAACCAAGCCGAACTTGTGAATACTGCTCGAAAGATATAATTTGATGGTACTCGTATATTGAATCGATTTTCACCACTAACATATTGTTCGATTATATTATAGCCAGTACATGGAACAGCTACAGAATTAAGTGTACTAATATTTGGTGGACAAGGTGCAGTACATACTAAACTTCCGGAACCAATCATATAATTACCAGTAGATATAAGTGCATTTGTACATGGCCACGTCACATAATTCCATGCATGACGTTGAAATATTTCAATAACAAGTGGATTAGAACTTGAGTTAATTACACGCCATGTAATCATCGATCCACGATAATGTGAACATCTAACAGTCGTAATCGATATAAACAAGGTCAATAGTATATATGTTAGTTTCATTGAAATGTATATATAAAAATATTTTCTGTTTTGATTTTGGGCAATAAATATAAAAGTAACTTCATCTTTTGTTTTCTTATGAGAAATAGAAAAACTTAAATTAATCATATGGCAATAATTATTTATACGATTTCAACATATTATTAATAGGAAGAATACTTATAGAATGAAAATATAAACAAGAAAAAAAAATTAATATTTGTTTGGCCCATCTATGCGCTATTCAGAAGAATTCTTTATTTCATGTCACAAATCAAACAAACACTAGATGTAATTCAGCTGTTGCATCTTGCATGTATTAAGCTTCTATATTTGCTTGTTTTTATCGATTATATCTTATAGCAACCTTATTTAGGTGAAAATAAATAGAGAGAAAAAAATGAAAAGTACTTAAAATACAGATATTCATGATTAGCTAATTCAGGCAAATCAAAAAATCTCCGTGCTTTCATTATTTATGATGAGAAATTTTATGGAGTGATGAGTATTCTCGATACTCCAAATAAGGATTGAAAATCTTAGTAATATTTTATCTAAAGTGTAACAGACACTTCTTTTTCGAGAGGAGAAATTATCAAGTTTATAACACGATGAATATATATCGTGAAAGATATTCATCTGAACAGTTTTCAAGATAAAAAAGTTAATCTTACTAAAGTATTCTTTAGATTATTAACAACACATGTTTTACTGACATGATGAGTTTTTTTTTTATAGTTATATTATATGTAAGTGTATCTATCATGGTGAACAAGGATATTATTTTACAATTCAATATATATATATATATTTCGATTTTATGTCTTTATAAATATTGATTATAATATAATGCTTGTAAATAAATATAGTTTTCGAGGTTAATTTTGATCATCAGTCTAGTCCTTTTTTTCTTCTTATCAAGCAAATGTTGAATTAGATGAATAATGAGTATATCCATTGTCTATAAGAAATTTTTGAGTATTTTCAATCGGCTTTATATCGGATAGTTGAAAGAGCTTATTACCGATTTATATTACTATTTGATCAATAGTCTTCTTCTTCTTCCGTCTAATTGTCAGTCAGATAGTCTACTCTATTACACATTGTGATCATACAAATATACATTGAGAAACGGTGAGGTATTATTCATAAGCTTTTTACGTGTGAGGATTAACGTCTGTCTTTGTCGTCCCGCCTTTTTTTTTTCATTCAATTCATTCATTCATATATGATAAACGTATAACAAGTAGTTCTCAAAAGATATATACATATAATCAAATTGTGACAGTTACGTTATCAATGTTATTTATACAGGTTAATATAAAAAAAAGAAATGATGCATGCATATTTTATTCTTTTTATATGATATATATATATATGTAGTATAAAAACAATCGTCTAGTTGATTTGAATAATTTTAAGTTATATTTATCTTTATACGAATAAGCTCTTTTTTCTTTATTTGTTAACACGATCATATTAAATATAAATTATGTAACAATGTTCTTTGTTAAAATTTTATATCTCTCAATCACATTTGATATATATATATATTTTAGAAATAATCGATTCTCATTTAAACGAAGGTGTTACATTGCAAAAAAGATTCTCTGTCATTTTCTCATTATTAACTTTCAATTATGTTCATAGTAAATATTTACCTATATATATATATATTGTGTATGACTAAGTTACATTCGACCTTCGAAGTTAAATGACGCATTAACAATACATATTAACTTTTCAAAGATATTCCTGTCTAATGATCCGTGAAAGGATGTATCAATCAAATCTGAAGGTAATTTAAAACAGCTGCTGAGTTTTTTCTTATCAGAAATCTCTTGGAAGAAGAAAAAGTTTTTTCTTTTTATACTTCATATATTTCATAAATCTTTGACCTCATATGATTTTCATTTCTCTTCGCTTTCAATCTGCAAGGTCTTTAAGAGGCATATATAATTATTTGCCATGGTCTTTCTTTTCTTTTCTTTTCGTTTTTTTTT